CTTCCCACTGGCCACCCATGTAAGGGACATTCTTCTCACTGACCAACAATGTAAGGGACATTCTTCCCACTGACCTTCAATCTAAGGTCCATTCTGCCCACTGACCACCAATCTAAGGGCCATTCTGCCCACTGATCACCAATGTAAGGGGCATTCTTACCACTGACCCCCAATATAAGAAGCATTCTCCCTACTGGCTAACAATATAAGGGATAGGAATAGTCTTCCCCTTGACCACCAATGTAAGGGGTGTTCTTCCCACTGACCATCAAGGTAGGGGACATTCACCCCACATTTGGGATATTCACCCCACTGATTACCAGTATAAGGGGCATTCTTGTTATGATACCAAAGTAAAGAGCATTCTGCCCACTGACTACCATTAAAAGAGCATATTCTCAATAACCACCAATGTAAGAAGAATTCTCCCTACTAACTAACAATATAAGGATTAAGGATATTCTTTCAATTGACTACCAACGGAAGGGGCATTCTTCCTCCTAACCTTCAATGTACGGGGGATTCCTTCCACTGATTACCAATGTAGGCGTTCATTCTCTCTGCTAGCCGCCAGCGTACGGGATATTCTTCCTCCTGACCACCAATATATGGGGCATTCTTCCTAATGACCACCTATGTAAGGGGTATTCTCCACACTGATTACCAGTGTAAAGGGTATTCTTCCTAATGATACCAAAGTAAGGAGCATTCCTCCCACTAACCACCAATATAAGGGCCAATCTGCCCACTGACCACCAATCTAAGGGCCATTGTGCTCACTGACCACCAATGTAAGGGGCATTCCTCCCAGTGACCACCAATATAAGAAGCATTCTCCCTACTGGCCAACAATATAAGGGATAGTAATAGTCTTCCCCTTGACCACCAATGTAAGGGGTGTTCTTCCCACTGACCATCAAGGTAGGGGGGACAATCATCTCATTGACTACCAATGTAAGGATCATTCTTCCAAATGACCACCAATGTAAGGAATATTCTTCCCACTGACCACCAATGTAAGGAGCATTCTTCCACCTGACCCCCAATGTAAGGAGCATTCTTCCAAATGACCACCAATGTAAGGAATATTCTTCCAACTGACCACCAATGTAAGGAGCATTCTTCCAACTGACCACCAATGTAAGGATCATTCTTCTCACTGACCACCAATGTAAGGGGCATACTTCTCATTGACCACCTATTTAAAACAAAGTGTGGGATTTCAAAATCATAACAACACCTACACACCAAGGTGGATTCAGCATCAGCCCAATGCTGCTGCTGTCCCCGGCTCCTCTGAGACCAAGAACGGAGCGATCAGAAACTGCTGATCACTCCGTTCTCAGTCTTCAGTGAGCAGAGAGCCGGTGACTGTCAGCCACCTCTCTATACTCTGCCCCTCTAGAGCTCACTGGAGCATTAGGAGGCTTTAGGAGGCTTGCTGAAAGTCTGAGTCAGCTGCCAGCCAGGCATCTGGGTGGATCCTGACATGAAATTCTGGATCCCTCCAGAGTCTGGACTGGCTGAAAGATTTCAGCTAACAGCAGACTTTGGTCTGAATCTGGGTCACAGGAGTGTAGAATGAATTGCACTCCTGTGACCTACAGTGGGAGGTGGGGGCCAAAAGAGCTTTGCTCCTATTTCTCTTTTAAGGAGTATGCTTTCCACTGAACCCCAATGTAAGGAGCATTCTTCCCACTGACCACCAATGTAAGGAGCAATTCTTCCCACTGACCACCAATGTAAGGCACATTCTTCCCACTGATCACCAATGTAAGGCACATTCTTCCCCCTGAACACCAATGTAAAGAGCATTCTTCCCCCTGAACACCAATGTAAAGAGCATTCTTCCCCCTGAACACCAATGTAAAGAGCATTCTTCCCCTTGACCACCAATGTAAGGAGCATTCTTTCCATTGGTCACCAGTGTAAGGAGCATTCTTCCCACTGACCACCAATATAAGGAGCATTCTTCCCACTGACCACCAATATAAGGAGCATTCTTCCCCTTGACCACCAGTGTAAGGAGCATTCTTCCCATTAGCCACCAATGTAAAGAACATTCTTCCCACTGACCACCAATATAGGGAGTATTCTTCCCACTGACCACCAATATAAGGAGCATTCTTCCCCTTGACCACCAATGTAAGTGGCATTCTTCCCATTGGCCACCAAGATAAGGAGCATTCTTCCCCCTGATCACCAATGTAAGGAGCATTCTTTCCCCCTGACCCCCAATGTAAGGAGTATTCTTCCCCCTGACCACCAATGTAAGGAGTATTCTTCCCCTGACCCCCCAATGTAAGGAGTATTCTTCCCCCTGACCCCCAATGTAAGGAGCATTCTTCCAAATGACCACCAATGTAAGGAGCATTCTTCCAACTGACCCCAATGTAAGGAGCATTCTTCCAACTGACCCCCAATGTAAGGAGCATTCTTCCCCCTGACCCCCAATGTAAGGAGTATTCTTCCCCCTGACCCCCAATGTAAGGAGCATTCTTCCAACTGACCCCCAATGTAAGGAGTATTCTTCCCCCTGACCCCCAATGTAAGGAGCATTCTTCCAACTGACCCCCAATGTAAGGAGCATTCTTCCCCCTGACCCCCAATGTAAGGAGTATTCTTCCCCCTGACCCCCAATGTAAGGAGCATTCTTCCAACTGACCACCAATGTAAGGAGCATTCTTCCAACTGACCACCAATGTAAGAGGCTACTCTTCCACGGACTTCCAATGATATTGCTTTTAGAAGGGGTTCTCCAAGATCTGAAAACCATTTGAAGGGTTCCTTTGGGATAAAATGTTCTAGGTGTAGGGAGGGTTCTATGTGGAAAGTGCAATGTCTGCCTTCTGACTCAAGAGCCACCTTAATAAACTGAGTAGAGGAAGGTTTTGGTCCCTTTTGTGCACCACTGCTGGGGTGACTTTCTTAGGCTGTAGACCTCTGATGTTCAACCTGCAGCCTTTGGTGCTGGTCCTGTGGCTAGGAGACCCCAGCAAATAGTACTTAGTGTGAGGACGTTGATTTGCAAAGAGCTAGAATGATCTCATAAACCACGTACAGAATGGCTCTAGATACCTTGAGGCTCGAGGGCCTTGTGGGGCCCTTTGGTGCTTGTTGTGTGGCCCTTGGATCCCAGTAGTAGTTAGCATCAAATCATTGAATTGTAAAGCGAACAATATAGTGGCTCTAGGTGATATCAGGTTTCTGCAGCTGAGGCCTTCCAATGCTTTGTACGCTGACAGTTTTTTTTCCCCCGCTCCTACGATGGGTGCATATAAAAACTAAACACCAAGTGAACCAAAACAGTGCACTGGGTGTGTCACTGGTCCCCTCCCGATAAGGAAGGACCCTGCCCTGTCCTCCCCGGGGTGCAAGGCTTCTGAGGGATGGGACAAAGCACTCTGGTCCACCTAGAACATATGTGTCAAACACAAGGACCATGGGCCGAATCTGGCCCTCTTGGCCATTTCATGTGGATCTTGCACCTCTCCTGCGGCTGAGGCACCCCCACCCTCGTCCCCACCCTCACCTTGTCTCAGCAATCGGCTGCAGGGAGGAGTACAGAAATCCTCCTACAGATCCAGCACCTCTCTGTGCAGCCACAGCACCCCCTCCCCTCTCCGCCTCCCCTGGTCTCAGCATTCAGCAGACTCCAGCCTTCCTCTGGTCCTCCTCCAGACCCTGCACTTTATGCCTCCAAGCTCCACCCACAGGCTCTTCCTGGCAACAGCAGAAGGTAAGGGGGGTGCACTGTGATGTAAGGGAGGGTGGGGGACTCTTGACTTCTCAAGGTGGTGGAAGTGGGGGGCTCTTGACATCTGATATAAGGGGATGGGGTAAGGTGTTCTGGACACCTAGTCTTACAGATACAACTGGCCCTTTGAGGGCAAACATAATGCTAATGCGGCCCCCGATAAAACTGAGTTTGATGCCTCTGACCTAGATGGACTCCTCTCCTTGTGGCCAACTAGCCACTGTCCATTGACCAGTGCTATAGAGCAGGGCCAAGTTACTTTAGGGGGGCCGGACTGCTCTGGTGTCAGCGGAAGGAATAGTGCCCCATCATTGGTGTCAGGGGAGGAATAGTGCCCCATCATTGGTGTCAGTGGGAGGAATAGTGCCCCATCATTGGTGTCAGGGGAGGAATAGTGCCCCATCATTGGTGTCAGGGGAGGAATAGTGCCCCATCGTTGGTGTCAGAGGAAGAATAACGCCCCATTTTTGGTGTCAGGGGAACAATAGTGCTCCATTGTTGGTGTCAGGGGGAGGAATAGTGCCTCATAATTGGTGTCAGTAGGAGGAATGGTGCCCTATCATTGTTGTCAGTGAGAGGAATGGTGCTCCATTGTTGGTGTCAGCGGGAGAAATAGTGCCCCATCACTGGTGCCAGTGGGAGGAATAGTGTTTCATCGTTGGTGTCAGTGGGAGGAATAGTGTTCCATCATTGGTGTCAGTGGGAGGAATGGTGCCCCATCATTGGTGTTAGTGGGAGGAATAGTGTCCCATCATTGGTGTCAGTGGGAGGAATAGTGCCCCATCATTGGTGTCAGTGGGAGGAATAGTGCCCCGTCATTGGTGTCAGTGAGAGGAATAGTGCCTCATCATTGGTATCAGTGGGAGGAATAGTGTCCCATCATTGGTGTCAGTGGGAGGAATAGTGCCCCATCACTGGTATCAGTGGGAGGAATAGTGCCCCTTCATTGGTATCAGTGGGAGGAATAGTGCCCCTTCATTGGTGTCAGTGGGAGGAATAGTGCCCCATCATTGGTATCAGTGGGAGGAATAGTGCCCCATCATTGGTGTCAGTGGGAGGAATAGTGCCCCATCATTGGTATCAGTGGGAGGAATAGTGCCCCATCATTGGTGTCAGTGGGAGGAATAAGTGCCCCTTCATTGGTATCAGTGGGAGGAATAGTGCCCCATCACTGGTGTCAGTAAGAGGAAACGTGCCCCACCATTGGAGTCAGTGGGAGGAATAGTGTCCCATCATTGGTATCAGTGGGAGGAATAGTGCCCCTTCATTGGTATCAGTGGGAGGAATAGTGCCCCATCATTGGTGTCAGTAAGAGGAAACATGCCCCATCATTGGTGTCAGTGGGAATAGTGTTCTTTGTCAGTGGCAGGAACTACTGTATGCCCCATGGTTGCTGACAGTGGGGGGGGGGGGGGGGGAAAGCCCCAAGGGTTGGATAAAAGCAGGCAAATGGCTGCATTTGCCCCCCCTGGCCTCAGTTTCGGGGCCAATGCTGTAGCTGAAAGGTTTTATATGGCTGGCACGTGTGTGGGCTGCGTCGGTGGTGCGGGTAGTACCAGGACAGGGCGTCCAGGACGCAGGGCAATGCTGTAGAATGGGTGTAACACTCTGAGTCTATTCTTTGCCTCCTTGCACCGGGGGCAGCTGCCCCTCCTGCCCACCCCTTGTCCTGCCCCTGGGTGTGTGACGTTGTTTTCAGTGGTGGGTGACGTAGGAGAAATGTGCTGAGAATATAGTGTGTTGTGCACAGAGGGTGTCACTGCTGAATTCAGTGCTGGTTGGCGCTGTGTGTGCGTTGCAGTGCAGAATCGCAGTGTTTCCTCTGACGGATCCCCGCGGTGTAGTCGCGGCGTTGTGTCACGTTGTTATTCCTCCGGCATCTCTCCAAGGTTTATGTGCGATGCACGTATGCCTAATTTATGGCGAGGTGTCACGCAGAGAGGTCAGCATGATGGCTAAGTGTTTGCTTCTCATCTCGGATGCATGGAGTTTGTATGTCCTTCCTCATGTTGGTGTGAGTTTGGGCCTCTGTCGGGTGGCCCCTGACTCCATACTCCTGAGGCTTGTACTGGGAGAGGGGGAAGGCAGATCAGTACAAGAAATGTCTGCTGGTGTGTAAACAGCAAACCGCGGGCGGACGGCCCTGAGAGTGGAGGAGGGACCCCAGGAGGGATGGGAGCGGTGGGTGTGCAGTGTGGGGTCGCTGGCTGGGGGAGGCCTATCACAGCATCATACAGACAGCACAGCCAAGGGAGCACTGAACCAAACTTGGGGAGACCTGAGGGCTGAACCGGGGAATTCTGAGGGCTGAACCGGGGAGACCTGAGGGGTGAACTGGGGAGACCTGAGGGCTGAACCGGGGAGACATGAGGGGTGAACCGGGGAGACATGAGGGGTGAACCAGGGAGACCTGAGGGTTGAACCGGGGAGACATGAGGGGTGAACCGGGGAGACCTGAGGGGTGAACCGGGGAGACATGAGGGGTGAACCGGGGAGACCTGAGAGCTGAACCGGGGAGACATGAGGGGTGAACCGGGGAGACCTGAGGGGTGAACCGGGGAATCCTGAGGGCTGAACTGGGGAGACATGAGGGGTGAATCGGGGAGACCTGAGGGCTGAACCTGGGAGACATGAGGGGTGAATCGGGGAGACCTGAGGGGTGAACTGGGGATACATGAGGGGTGAATCGGGGAGACCTGAGGGCTGAACCGGGGAGACCTGAGGGGTGAACCGGAGAGACCTGAGGGCTGAACCGGGGAGACATGAGGGGTGATTTGGGGAGACCTGAGGGGTGAACCGGGGAGACCTGAGGGGTGAACCGGGAAGACCTGAGGGCTGAACCGGGGAGACATGAGGGGTGATTTGGGGAGACCTGAGGGGTGAATCGGGGAGACCTGAGGGGTGAACCGGGGAGACCTGAGGGGTGAATCAAAGAGACCTGAGGGCTGAACCGGGGAGACCTGAGGGGTGAACCGGGGAGACCTGAGGGCTGAACCGGGGAGACATGAGGGGTGAACCGGGGAGACTCGCCCCATTAGTGAATGCATGGCAAAATGAATGGGTGAATAATGAGCCCCACCTTCATTATTCACCCATTCATTTTGCCATGCTTTCACTAATGGAGCGAGTCTCCCTAATTCAGCTCTTCAACTGATTCCTACCCCTTGTGTACCCCCCACTCTGGATGCAGTGTGTACCCCTTCTCCTCTCCAGGCTACAATGTCCTCCCCCAAGATTCAGCACTGTGACCCCCCCCCCAGGATGCAGTGTGTACCGCCCAGAATGCAGAGTGCCCCTCCCCAGGATGTAGTGCCCCCCAAAGATGCAGATTGTACCCCACTTCTCCCCAGGCTGTAGATTGTGCCCTACTTCTCCCCAGGCTGCAGATTGTACCCCATTTCTCCCCAGGCTGCATCAACCCCCCCAGGATGCAGTGTCCCCCCCAGGATGCAGGGTGTACCCCACGTCTCCCAAGGCTGCATCCACCCCCCCAGGATGCAGAGTGACCCCCCTCATGCAGAGTGTACCCCACTTCTCCCCAGGCTGCATCCCCCCACCAGGATGCAGTCCCCCCCAGAATGCAGAGTGTACCCCACTTCTCCCCAGGCTGCAGAGTGTCCCCCCCAGGATGCAGAGTGTACCCCATTTCTCCCCAGGCTGCATCCACCCCCCCCCAGGATGCAGTGTCCCCCCCAGGATGCAGGGTGTACCCCACGTCTCCCAAGGTTGCATCCACCCCTCCCCAGGATGCAGCGTGTACCCCACTTCTCCCCAGGCTGCATCCACCCCCCCAGGATGCAGAGTGCCCCCCCATGCAAAGTGTACCCCACTTCTCCCCAGGCTGAATCCCCCCACCAGGATGCAGAGTCCCCCCCAGGATGCAGAGTGTACCCCACTTCTCCCCAGGCTGCATCCACCCCCCCCAAGAAGCAGAGTGCCCCCCCCCATGTGCAGAGTGTACCCCACTTCTCCCCAGGCTGCATCCCCCCACCAGGATGCAGAGTCCCCCCCCATGCAGAGTGTACCCCACTTCTCCCCAGGCTGCATCCCCCCACCAGGATGCAGAGTGTACCCCACTTCTCCCCAGCTGCATCCCCCCCCCAGGATGCAGAGTGTGTACCCCACTTCTCCCCAGGCTGCATCTCCCCCCCCTGACGGTGTAGATGAGTTCTATATACAATGACACCATTGTCCTCCCTCTCCCAGCCTCGTGTGTGAGTCGGAAGTGAGAACTGTCTGTACTCCACCCCGACCACCAATCACAGTGTGAGCCCAGTGCGGGGTGATCGGTGTACAGAGTGCGGGGTGATCGGTGTTGTCGGGCGGTGCGATCAGTGTTGTTGGGCGGTGCGGGGTGATCGGTGTTGTTGGGCGGTGCGGGGTGATCGGTGTTGTCGGGCGGTGCGGGGTGATCGGTGTTGTCGGGCGGTGCGGGGTGATCGGAGCTCTGTGTTGATCGCACTGACATCCCCAGCGATCTGTCCGGGGAGGATCTCCGATCACCGCACCGATCACACCGCCTCCTCCTCCGCCCCGCGGGTACAGTCCGGTGTATTCGGGGTACAATTAAGGTGGTGGTGGGGGGCGTACATGATGCAAGGTTTAGTAGAGGGGGTGCACCCACACTACGGGGGGGGGGGGGGGGGGGGGGTACAGGACGGGGGAGACTACATTATGGGGGGGTAAAGGAGGGGAAAGCTACAGTATGGGGGGGGGGGGGGTACAGGAGGGTGAGACTACAGGGGGGGGGGGGGGGGGGAGGGGGTACAGGAGGGGGAGACTACAGTATGGGGGGGGGGTACAGGAGGGGGAAACTACAGTATGGGGGGGGGGGGGTACAGGACGAGGGAGACTACAGTATGGGGGTACAGAAGGGGGAGACTACAGTATGGGGGGGTACAGGACGAGGGAGACTACAGTATGGGGGTACAGGAGGGGGAGACTACAGTATGGGGGTGTACAGGACGAGGGAGACTACAGTACGGGGGTGTACAGGAGGGGGAGACTACAGTATGGGGGTGTACAGGACGAGGGAGACTACAGTATGGGGGGGTACAGAACGGGGGAGACTACAGTATGGGGGGGGGGGGTACAGGTCGGGGAGACTACAGTATGGGGGGGGTACAGTAAAGAGGGACTATAGTAGGGGGGGTACAGCGAGGACAATAGTACAGGAGGGGTACAGTACAGAAGGGACTACAATACAGGGGGGGTTACAGTAAAGGGACTACAATACCGGGGGGGGAAAGAGTACAGGGGGGACTAAAATACAGGGGGGTACAGTATACAGAGGGGATTACAGTATAGAAGGGGGTACAGTACAGAGGGGAATACAATACAGGAGGGTACAGTACAGAGAGGACTACAGTATGGGGGGTACAGTAAAGAGGGGACTATAGTACAGGGGGGTACAGAGGGGATTTTAATACAGGGGGGTATAGAGGGGACTATAGTACAGGAGGGGTACAGTACAGAGGGGACTACAATACGGGGGGGAGTTACAGTAAAGAGGGGACTATAGTACGGGGGGGGTACAAACTATAGTACAGGAGGGGTACAAACTATAGTACAGGAGGGGTACAGTACAGAGGGGACTAAAATACTGAGGGATTACAGTAAAGAGGGGACTACAGTACCAGGGGGAGTACAGTACGGGGGGGGACTACGATACCGGGGGGGGTACAGTACAGAGGGGGACTATAGTACGGGGGGGTACAGAGGGGGACTATAGAACGGGGTGTGTAGTAGTGTTGTGTATGGGGGGGGGGGGGGGTTGTAGTGTTGTGGTGTATGGAGGGGGGGTGTAGTAGTGTTGGTGTATGGAGGGGGGGGGGGTAGTAGTGTTTGTGTTGTAGTGTATGTGTATGTAGGGGGGGTGTATTAGTGTTGTGTATGGAGGGGGGGGTGTAGTGGTTTGTATGGAGGGGGGGGGGGTAGTAGTGTTGTGGTGTATGGAGGGGGGGGATTGTAGTAGTGTTGTGTATGGAGGGGGGGTGTAGTAGTGTTGTGGTGTATGGAGGGGGGGGGTGTAGTAGTGTTGTGGTGTATGGAGGGGGGGTGTAGTAGTGTTGGTGGTGTATGGAGGGGGGGTGTAGTAGTGTTGTGGGGTTGTATGGAGGGAGGGGTGTATTAGTGTTGTGGTGTATGGAGGGGGGGGTGTAGTAGTTTTTGTGGTGTGGTGGAGGGGGGGGGGTTGTTTTGTGGGTATGGGGGGGGGTGGTGTATGGGTTTAGGGTGGTTGTGGTGTATGGAGGGGGGGTGTGGGGTAGTAGTTTTTGTGGTAGTGGGGGGGGTGTTGTGGTAGTGGTGTATGGGGGGGGGTAGTATTGGTGTGGGGGGTTGTGGGTGTATTTTGTGTGGTGTATGGGGGGGGGGGTGTTTTTTGTAGTATTGTGGTGTATTTGGGGGGGGGTGTTTAGTGTGTGGTGTTGGAGGGGGGGTTGTAGTAGTTTTGTGTTGGGTATGGAGGGGGTTGGGGTAGGTTAGTGTTTGGGTGTATGGAGGGGGGGTGGGGTTTGTAGTTATTGTGTGTGGGGGGGGGGGGGT